ACGTTGTACATTTGCTGTCATGTTAAACTTATATTAAAGTTTTTCTTCATTACCCATTTAAGCCGTCTCCAGCCATTATTAATCTTCTAACATAAGTTGATGTTCTTGTTGCATTATGTACTCACCTAACATAAGTTGATGTTCTTGTTGCATTATGTACTCTCTTGGCATAAATTAATGTTCATGTTAATATTAAGTTCCGATTGGAGTAAGCTATATATTTAGAACACAACTAAAAAATCAATCTGGCAATCAGTATAGCTAATTAAACGTACTTCTCTTACGTTTCTATTTATAAAGCTTAGAACACTTTGTTTCATCAGCTGAACGACAATGTTGCATTACGTACTCTACCAGCATAAATTAACGTTCATGTTGCATTACCTACTCTCCTAGTATAAGTTAAAATTAATGTTATATTATGATTAATATTCAACAAAGCCTTATTTTACATCACCATTCTATGCAGTAGATTTGAGGTTTGTTTTTGAAGTTCTAATTTTAAATTTTTATCGAGGTATCTATCTTTTTTTTTTATAGTTTCATTAAGAGTTTATGAAGAATGTCAGTAGCACTAACTAAACACAAACTGGTTTCATTTACTGTTGTATTATTGATTAAAATGCCAAACACAAAAAATTTCAAAAAACATTTATACTTTAGATTGTAGTTAGTATTATGTAAAGCAGTTTACTGTATATAGTGAATAAATATTGTCAAACTCGAGAGTGAAAATAAATTCTCCAAACATTTGATCCGATTAAATCGTTATTCGAATTTTTCCATCAGCAGGATGCTTTGTATATAGCATTAGGCTTAGTATAGATCTTGTTTTACTTAATTAATCTAATCAAAAGGAAGAATTACATGATTCAGTCTAACTTTATTCTATTTTCTAATTACGTTAAAGTGTTCGCTAAGCCTAAACCTGAGTCTACTGGTTAACAGACCGAGGCGCCCTCCAGTGACACAGCGGCATGTCTGCGGACTTACAACACTAGAATCCGGGTTTCGATACACGTGGTGGGCAGAGCACAGATAGCCCATTGTGTAGCTTTGTGCTTAATTACAAACAAACAAACAGACCGAGGCGCCCTCCAGTGGCCTGTGTTTGTGCTTAATTTTCCTTTTACTCTTTCATGGTGACATATTAACCCATTTCAAACCACGAGCGAGACGAAGAGGGATCTGCCGATCTCTGAACGTCTCTGGTTTTTCATCCAAAAACACCTCAGGAATGAACGAGACTGAGCTTAACAAATTAGGTTTCCAGAGTATATTTATTATTAATATTAACTTACGTATATGTATATATATATCCGCCAGACCATTGGAGTTGGTTATAATTCCGTTGTTGTGACTTAAAGCATAAGTGCTAGAGCCATTTTTTTTGAGTTTGTGCAACTCCTCACAAGTGATAAAATAGGATTTATGTTGAATTTACAAAATCGATCCGGCCTTTTCACTAGTCTCTGTCGTTAGTTCTATAAATATACTGGTGAATTGTGTGCTACGTTGTGTAGCGATGTTGAGATTGAAGAGGTGAATGATACATAAGTGCAATCAATAATTTTATTAAAAGTAAATGATTTATATATATTTTTCAGCCCTGACAGTAGAGGGAGGAGGTGTTAACGCAACTGCCGTTCAAGCAGACATTGGCGCCACCAACGGCATTGTCCATATAATCGATCGAGTACTAGGCATGCCCTATCAGACTCTGAACGAGAAACTGGCAACTGATCCTGATCTGAAGTAACTGTGGTTTTTTTTAGCACGATTTCTTTTAAATATTATGTTTTAAAATTCGCAAAAATGAAAAATCTACTAAGTTTCGAATTGTGTTCTGTATTATTCATGTTCCGTTTCGAGATAAAATAGAATCTTATGTCTCTGTGATGTATTTATAAAACTAAAAAATAGAAAAAGACACAAAAAGTCAAACGCTTTCGAGTTATGTCTCATTTTCTTCATTAGAAACAGAAACGAGGCAAAGAGCCTTTTAGGCGCTTGAGCTTTTTGGTCATAATTTGGAGTTTATGTTCGAATTCTACTCGAATAGTGTTTTCAGATGTGACATTTAGTGTAAAAGAGATTTTCCTTGAAAGTTATTAAGTTATTAACCTATCGCGTTGATTGGAAGTAAAATATATAATTTTAGAATAAAATATCACGTGATATACAGATAGTAAACTCAACGTTTGTTCATTCGTGTATTTTGTGGCTTATAATTTTTATGTCGATGCCACAAAACATTTAAAGTGTAAATATATTCGAAACTTTAGGTTTTTTATCTTGAAATATTATACCCTTTTGAATAATGATATTAAAGCTATATTTTTGCATTAGGTTTTAAAGCATCACATGTATTTTGAACAATGTTATTAAAGCTAGATTTTGGAATTAGGTTTTAAAGCATCACATGTATTTTGAACAATGTTATTAAAGCTATATTTTGGCATTAGATTTTAAAGTATCACATGTATTTTGAACAATGTTATTAAAGCTAGATTTTGGAATTAGGTTTTAAAGCATCACATGTATTTTGAACAATGTTATTAAAGCTATATTTTGGCATTAGATTTTAAAGCATCACATGTATTTTGAACAATGTTATTAAAGCTAGATTTTGGTATTGGGGTTTAAAGCATCACAATGTTATTAAAGCTAGATTTTGGCATTAGATTTTAAAGCATCACATGTATTTTGAACAATGTTATTAAAGCTAGATTTTGGTATTGGGCTTTAAAGCATCACGTGTATTTTACTATGTATAAGTTTTACTTTAATCTGCTTCTAGTTTTGATGATTCAGATATAAGCAAAAAAAAAAAAATAAATAAGCAAACTCCAAACCAGCTTTCAGTTGTTACTCTGTAACACCTTTTTAATTTTAATTTGACAATATATTTTCACAACAGCATCAGACATAATTTTTATGAAGACCAACGTACAATTTTTGTCAAATACAAATGAGAGTGAGACAGAACCAATGTTTTTAAGTCACAAGATTTAAAACAACCCCCTTTTTAAAATATATTACTGCAAACTATTTTTAATTCATAGAGCTACACTGAACTTTTCAATTTCATCTGCATATTATTTAAGGGCATTCAAATCTTTTAGAAGAAGAAGAAAAAATGCATAAATCAGCTTTTACTTTATCAATTTTGGATTATTACTATTTACTTGTTTTAATTCGCTTTTTCTAAACTGATTTAAAAAAAAAAAGGTGAAATTGTTTAAATAGAACGTGGAAGCTGTAATATTGTTTGCTGTTTCAGAGAAACCTACAAGCTGAGTCTGATGAATAATTGGAACGAGAAGTTAATGAATAATAGGAACAACTTCACGTTTTTTGTGCCCAGCGAGGGGGCGTGGGAGCGGTTGAAAACGGATCACTTGTCTGAACACAAGAAGATGCATATGGAAATGTACGGCAATCAAGTGAACAAGGTAAAACTAAGCCTTACAGCTGCCGCTTTTTTTTAATCATTCAGTGACATAAATAAATATTTGAATTTCATCTGATCACATCCATACGCTGGTTATCATCTTCATCTCAGCCATGTATTATAATTAAAACGAATCACTTACTTTTCTTCTAACCGGTATTATATTTATAGAGAAAAACTTTATTTATCGTATTAAAAAAAAAACCATGATTTACAAGGTGAATAGTACAATATGTGTGTGTATGTGTCAGAACGTTTGAACTACTGAATAACTTCAGCATTATGATTTTTGACATCTCTTCTTTAGTATCTTTAGACTTGTTTCCCAAAATTACATACTTACTATGTCATCGTATTTCATTCAGCCTTATTATTAAAATTACATACTTACTATGTCATCGTATTTCATTCAGCCTTATTATTAAAATTACATACTTACTATGTCATCGTATTTCATTCAGCCTTATTATTTTTTGCTTCTAATATTTCTAGTAAGAGTATGTGTAACTTTCAGTAATCTTTCATTGGGTTAAGAGTAAGTTTACAGAATTACAACCCCAAAATCCGGGGTTCGATTCCCCCGCAGTGGACAGAACGTTAATAGCTCATCGTGTAGCCTTGCACTAAAACAACACACACACACAACGTTCAGTCAGAGTTTATTTCTAACTCCGAATACAAAAACATTTAAGGTAACTATCTCTCTATATCAGATTTTGGGTTTAAGGTTAATGCAGGCCCGGCATGGCCAGGTGGTTAGGGCGCTCGACTCGCAATCTGAGGGTCGCGGGTTCGAATCCCCGTCACACCAAACATGCTCGCCCTTTCAACCGTGGGGTGACGGTCAGTCCCACTATTCGTTGGTAAAAGAGTAGCCCAAGAGTTGGCGGTGGGTGGTGATGACTAGCTGCCTTACCTCTAGTCTTAAACTGCTAAATTAGGGACGGCTAGCGCAGATAGCCCTCGTGTAGCTTTGCGCGAAATTCAAAAAACAAAAAAACAAAAGGTTAATGCATTTGGAAACTTAACTGAAAGTATTAATATAATTAATTATATTTCAGTGAAATGGCATATTTCATGATAAAACTGGTATATAATAGTGACGGTCATTCTATAATAAATTACATAATTAAAATAATTACTTCAGTCAACTTCTCTCTCCTTTTTTTTTCTTCAGATATTGGACCGCCATCTTGTGATAGGACAGGAGCTCTCATCTCAGGATCTAGAGAGACGTAACGTTGTTGAAACGGTTTACGGTGTCTTCAAGATCGAAAGAGGATATGGTTATGGTAAAAATGGCTTGTAATATATATATATAAATATATAACTTCAACACAAAAATTTAACTACTTCGAAATCATATTTATTTCAATAAATCGTGATTAATGAGTTAGACCTATAAGGAATCAACTTGTTTGGCCATGACTGTAGACCAGAAGTAAACGTTAGTCTAATCGGATTACTACTGGCCTGTATATTTATCAGTAGTAATTGTTAACTTAATCGGTTTACTATTGGCCTGTATATTTATCAGTAGTAATTGTTAACTTAATCGGTTTACTATTGGCCTGTATATTTATCAGAAGTAATTCTTAGCTTAATCGGTTTACTACTGGCCTGTATATTTAGCAGAAGTAATTGTTAACTTAATCGGTTCACTATTAGCCTGTATATTTGTCAGAAGTAATTCTTAGCTTAATCGGTTTACTACTGGCCTGTATATTTATCAGAAGTAATTGTTAGCTTAATCGGTTTACTATTGGTCTGTATATTTAGCAGAAGTAATTATTAGCTTAATCGGTTTACTATTGGCCTGTATATTATAACTTAATAGGTTTACTATTGGCCTGTATATTTATCAGAAGTAATTGTTAGCTTAATTGGTTTACTATTGGCCTATATATTTATCAGAAGTAATTGTTAGCTTAATTGGTTTACTATTAACCTGTATATTTATCTGTTACAACGAAAGTATGAATAAGTACGCCAAAACAACGATCTAAGACTATGTTCGCCCACCTGTTTCAATGATGATGAAAGACAACTTGTAATGGCACAACCAAATATCTAAATGCAGTCTTGTTATTAATCAACCAGTTGTCTTCACTTTAGGTATTGATTAAACAGTAAATCTTGCCAAACATTACTGAATAGTTGAAGCAGGGGTTTCTAACAGAAGATATGTGCATCTATGTTGTGAAGTGTTTTTTTTTCTTCAAAAAACTGTAGATTATTGATTGTTAAATACTCAGTGAAAATGTAAATAAATTATGCATTTTAAACATTGGACTGTTTTTTATACGAAGACGTACACGACAGTATTACCATTTCGTGCCTTTTTCCAACCTTAGACTTAATGTAAGTACCTCAGAAGAGGTGTGAATTAGGTGGTGTATCAGATTTTGAAACTTTATATTTCTGATTTGTTTTTCCAAAGTAATTTTTTTTTTCTCAAATTTATTTTGATAGGAGAACTCTCTGTCGAATGGGAAAATATTAGAGCTACAATTGTTCGCCCAGATGTTCAAGCAACTAACGGCATCATCCATGTCATCGACCGTATTATGATGAAACCTCGAGATCTCTCGAGGACAGGGGGCGCTGCAACCTTGTCAGTTTCTGTAGCTACAGTTTTGGTTAGCTTGGCGCTTTTGCGTGGAATGTAGGCTACTCTAATCTCGGTTCCCCCCTCTTTCCAAACAAAACGATAACGTCACTGAGATCTCATTTGACAACATTCTGGTTCTAGGATATTTGTCTGTTCTTTTCGGACGTTTGAACATTCGAGTAACTTGCTTTTAGAACTCAACATATCGTCCGAAGCCAGCCAAATAATCCCAAAACCCAATGTTAATAATTGTACGAACAGAAAGTAGCTTCCTGTGGACTTGAAAGAAAAAAATGGGATTTTAAGGATAGTTTGTTTTTTGTTGTTGTTTTTTTTTCGCAATGATGTGAGGGGTAAATTTCAATGATGTCAGCAGATTCTGCTGTGTCATAAAGATTTGATTTTGGAGTAAAATGTGCATCTTTATATTTCTTAAACAAAGAAACTGTAATTTGATGATCACCATATAATTATAATGTAATTAAACGTTATGAGGGAATTGCAAATTACCAAAACTTATTACTCAATCTTTTTTTCCATTTATAAACTTACCTCATAATATCTAAGGTTTCTATAATGTAATATCTGTAAAAGGAATATATAGAAACAAGTTTGCTCATGATGCACAGTTATATGACTCTTATTATCAGGTATATAATATTTACTTAAGGTAGCGTATATCCTTTACATAATGTTATCTAGGTTTTGGGCTTTTTATCAGAAAAAACTACAACGCCTTCGTACTATGTTTTTTGTATGTAAATATATTGAAATAGGTACAAAGACATATTCTGGCACGTGCTGTGTAACTGTGGCTAATTTACATATTATAAAAAAATAAAGAAATACAAAAGAAATGTCTTATGTTTCTGATACCTTCTATAAACATGACCGAATGCTCCCGAAAATGGGTCCAGACTTTGATGGATGTGTAGAATTAGTCTGAACTAAGGAAAACTCTGAAAATTAATTCTAGGTCAAATTATGGCACTAATAAGTAGGACATATGATTCAGTGACTCTTTAATGGTCATCCAATAAAAACAAACTTATTATCAACTTTACCTTAGTACACACTATAGATACAATAATAATATATATTTATGTCAATTGCGAAGTCTATAGCATCAATAGATCTAAAGGTATGGGTTAATAACTACCATGAGAATTTCAATTTTCAGGTTTTGAGAAAAAATGCGTTTAAAGGGGAAAAACCCTCTACTTTTCAAGGGTTTTTAGTTCAGCTAATACTGGACATTGAAAGTAATGGCTTTGAGGATTTAAAATATGCAAAATATAAATAACATAAATCATGATATTTTTTGACATTGAAAGGGTATATGCTGCCTTAAGTTTTTTTGCAAATGTGTGGTCTTCCTTTCACTTCTAAGTTTTACTCAATTCAAGTTTTTGTTCCTAATAATGTTGTGCTTTAGTACCTCTAAGTGTTTTTTGTGTGAAAATCTGTAAATTTTTATGAATTGGTCTACGTATTCGTACTGCTTACCAGTGATATTGTAGATTTCTTAAGTGTTTCGTGTTTTCAGTATGAAACGTACTCTTTTTAATGTATTAGTCAGTGTGAGTAAAATTATATTTATAATATTTTACCAACTTTCGGACTCACACGCTAAAATCCAGGTTCAATTCCCCGCGGTGGACAGAGTGCAGATAGCCAGCCCATTTCGTAGTTTTGGGCTAAAAACAAAGAAATCGACCTCAGTGTGTATCACATTTTAAGTAATTTAAATTAAGAAACCAGTACGTTTTGAGCTCGTTTTTAATTTTTGTGAACGAAAAAAAGTGAATTGAACAGTATTTTTTTTAAAAATTCTTCTTGTGGCTTTTTGAATATTATTGAAGGCAAATGTTTTTAATGTCACGTAAACAATAAAGAGATCACACATCTGAAGTACAGCTTTCAGTGAGAAACAGTAACAATTAAGTTGGTTACAACACCCGTGTATAATTGTTAACTGATTCTGTTAGTGACCAATAGAACTGGCATTACAGTTACTATTGTGCGGTAAAAAAAGCAGTGCTGGAGCCGCTACAGAAATAATGCATTATTGAAAAGATTGTTACGAAGTATTGAGACTTAAAAACAACAACAAAGAGTTTAATAATATAGTTATGCTGTTTTCCAACAGTGATTCCAGGACCTCAGGCGTTCCAAACATTTCAACTTTTCACTGCCCAGTTTCAAGTGAAGTGTGTAAATATCTAAAGATTATTAGGGCTGTCCTTTATCTCGTATGGAAATCGATAAAGGAATTAATGTCTCCTTATCACCCTTTCCTTATAGCTGAAATCAGTATTACGTAAGTCGACTTCTACATTTACGTCTCTTTTACACATACAATGTGTACAATGTGCTAGTCTACGAAACGTGTATGATGCATCCAGGGTTTTTGTGTGATACAAGGATAAAAGCATTTTTGACTTGTATTGAATCTCTATCTATTAATAAGTATCGTGAAAGTATAATTCTTGTGTTTCTGTGGTATATTTTGTACATGTGGTTTCTAGGGTTGCCAACACTGCCAAAAAATATGGGACTGTTTTTTTAGCACCCCCTCCGCATCCCTCTTCCCGGTATTATTATTATTTTATCCTCATAATTAATAATAAGTATTCCTCACCTACATTTGCCAGGGGTATTTCTTTGGCTTCTTTCAACACCCAACAACTTCCGGTCAGTTTCTCCTCCATGTCCAATACTGGATTCACGCCGACACAAAGTAGAAGATGCTTGGTCAGAATCGCAACTGACAGATGTTACACAATTATATTTTGCTTCCCATTGACTTATTATTTTATGTTTAGGTCTAGAAGGACTATATAACGTTCCCCCTGTTTCACTCATAATTGAATGTAATGTTTTCCTGATGCGTGTAAAAGAGTGCCACAGCTAATGTTTTAGCCGCTAATATGATAACGAGGACCCCCACTTTTTTTTAGAAAATCAAGTCTGGAGACGGCTTGAATGGGTAGTGCATGAGAAAACCTTGTACATTTGTATTAAAGTTTCTTTCATTACCCATTCAAGCCGTTTCCAAACTTTATTAGCCGCTAATAACATAATACTACTGGCACAGCTTCCTCTAGGTTCAATAAATCAGGGGACTGGTACTGTATTACTATGTTGCCTAATTTTAAAAACTTTATATCATTTGAAGGTATGGTAATAATAAAACTGGCCTTGCATAATCATAAAATTGATAATATGTTGAAATACGGTATAAAAGGCGTTCCGTACTAAGTTAGTACGGGACAAGCAATTTTATATTTAAATAAGTGACGTATCTTGTTATGTGGGACTGTTGGCAACCCTAATGGTTTAGCATACAGGGCTAGTATGGGCCGCAAAAAAAAAGGGGGGCTTCCGGTGACGTATCTTGTTATGTGGGACTGTTGGCAACCCTAATGGTTTAGCATACAGGGCTAGTATGGGCCACAAAAAAAAAGGGGGCTTCCGAGTGGTATTTGTCGCTTTCGTATGGCGTTCAGCGTATGGCCACAATCCTGTTGGTTCAAAACCCATAAAAGATTTAGCTTACATAGTTAGTTTAAGACAAAACACATTAGAGATTTTTTTTTTACTCGTAATTCTTCTATGACACTATTTTCCCATCTTGAATGACTTTTTTTTGTTGACTTAACACAATATTCTAAGTTTGAAATTTTTTAGCTAAAGCTAGTGTTTACGTTGAGAAATTGGAAGCTGATTAAACTTTCGACATATCTGCTGTTAAAAAAAATCTTGAGAATGTCTAATAATACCAGACGCGAACTAACGACCTGTCACCTTAAATAAAAAAAAAAAACCAGGCATGGTATTCTGACGCGTCATTCTTATGTTCTTTTTTTTTTCATTCAGGGAAATCAACAAAGAACAATAGAATATTTAAAGTTATTGAATGTTTGTTAGTTTTATCTATTTTTTTTTATCGCGAACCATTCTAATATACTAGATATGGTCGTTTTTTTTTCATGACAAATTTAAGCAGTCGGTTCGATCGAGAGAGCCCCCCCCCCCCCAGTGGCACAGCGGTATGTCTGCGGACTTACAACGCTAGAATCCGGGTTTCGATACCCGTGGTGGGCAGAGCACAGATAGCCCATTGTGTAGCTTT